CACAGAAATGAAGAGGGTCGCTTTTTTTGTTCAGCATTTCCGTGGTCTTGGTTTGAACTGTCTTGGGTGAAAGTTATTGGTAATGTGGCTTTAAAGGGAGTCTAAAAGCTTGACGTTTTTGGCAGCGGTCCTGTGGAGCACATTCAAGACTTCACAGAAAGCTCTTTGTGCTGTGCTCATTTATTGCTAGACAAAAGCCTCTTAATCTCTTCATTTGGCCACCAAGGAGCCCTCAACATGTGAATGGCCTGATGGAATCGCCCCATTAAGAAACTGAAGTTATTTCTTCATTTTCTGGAGAAGATGAGCATGCATGCATGCTTGTGCAAAACTTGGTTGCTTTCTGTCTGTAGTCAAAAGAGACCATGTGATATTCTGGTTTCTAGATATGGCTCATATCCCTCCTTTTTGATCAGTTTATCGACTCTGGAAAGTATTTCTTTGACAATGCATTATCATCTGGAGTTGTTTGAACACAGTTTCGGGAATGGCGCTGACTGCAAGAATAACATTAAGCTCTCAGTTGTCTTCATAGTAGGATTAGACGGGCTCATTACTTTCCTCACCCCAGACTCCCCTGTGATTCCCAGACCTTTGAGTCCCTCCAGCACAACTGAAGCACGTTATGTAACACATCCATGATTCACTCTCTGGTAGATATTTGTGATTCAGTCGCATGTGATTCTGGGTTTGTGTGGATGAGGCTGCTCTGGTTCACATCAGCCGATTTCAGCTGGTGTTGCATCTTAAAGGAATAGTCCAAAATGAAAATTTGCTGAAAATGACACCCTCAGGCCTTCCAATATGTAGATGAGTTTGTTTCTTAACCAGATTTGGAGAAATGTAGCATTGCATCAGTGTCTCACTGCAAGTGAATGGGTGCCGTCAGAATGAGAGCCAAACAGCTGATAAAAACATCACAATAATCCACAGCACTCCAGTCCATCGGTTAACATCTGGAGAAGACAAAAGCTGAAACACATCCAGCATTAAGACGTTTTACACTAAAATATGAGTCCATAATCCATAATAACGCTTCCTCAGTGAAAAAGTGCATCTGCTGTTGTCTCTCTCATCAAAATCCAGCCACATATTTGTTTTTGAGCTGTTTAAATGTTGCTTGATCTGTGCAGATTTCTCTCCTGTTTCACACCAGAACACTGACTCACTGGAGGAAGCGTTATTATGGATTATGGACTCATATTTTAGTGTAAAACGTCTTAATGCTGGATGTGTTTCAGCTTTTGTCTTCTCCAGATGTTAACTGATGGACTGGAGTGCTGTGGATTATTGTGATGTTTTTATCAGCTGTTTGGACTTTCATTCTGACGGCACCCATTCACTGCAGAGCATCCATTGCTGAGACACTGATGCAATGCTGCATTTCTCCAAATGTGGTGAAGAAACAAACTCATCCTAATCTTGGATGGCCTGAGGATGTCATTTTCAGCCAATTTTCATTTTTGGGTCAACTATTCCTTTCATAATGGTTTAATGTTCATGACTTTGATTTTTTCCTTAGTTCAGCTAAATGATAACCCGTTTTATACTTTATGAATACTTGAACCTTATTGATGAGACAATAAATGTCTTTTAAATAAGTGTAAAATGGGAATACTGGTCTAAATCATGGTTTTAAAGTGGGACTACTTTTTATGTGGATGAATTTTTCGTTGTTAAATGTGGTAAACTGTAAGGAATGAGTACGTTTTACCAGAAAATACCATTTCAGTCTTTCTACTTTGAAAATTTCATATTTAATTTGATGGTATTGCTATGTTATTGCTATTTCTTTGAAATGATTTATGAGTGAAAATGATTTCAAAGCTAATCCTACACCATTTTTTTTTTCAGTGTAATGGACATTATGATCCAAATTATTTTGATAAAGCCGAACTTGTATTGAATCAAGAGCCCTTTAAGATTGGTGACTGGCTCCAACAATGATCTAGTAAACTCTGTTAAGCTGTATAACAGCGAGCTGATCTCTGCAGTCATATCTAAAGAGGTGAACCAGCGAAGAGCTTTAACACAAATTGAGTTCTCACGATGAGATGCGGATTCGGCACCGCTCGCATGTCAACACACTCTCACTGAATAAAGGAGTCAGCCATTCAGTTCAGCGCTCTTTAAAACGCATTCAATAGGGCAGCTGTTTATGCTCGTGAATATTCAACGAGCTGAGACATAGTCAGCCGCTCGGATTGATTCAGCATTCAACAAGTCGGCTATTCTCGATCGATTCAGATGTGAGAATTAATGCACAACATTTGAGATTTGTACAGATATAAAGCGTGCCTTTTACTTGTCAGAAAAGTAAAGTATCTTTTTGTAAGATACAAAGAGCCTTCACACAAACCATCAGCATTCATGTGCCTTTTAGAGGTTTTTGGAACAAATTGGCCTTAAGGAATGAAGTCTTTTTTAACCAAGGTCACATGAAAGAATTATTTCATCCAAAAATGATGATCATGTGATGATCATCAGTCACCCTGATCACATTCACATTAAAGCAGTACATGCCTGTGATTCTACCACAGCTATGGGGTGTTTTTGTCATGCCTGAAACCCCCTTTAACCATTAAGTGGTTTATTGCTTTTATAAAGCAGATGCATTAAAGGAATAGTTCACCCAGAAATGTGTTGAAAACATACTCACCCTCAGATCATCCAAGATGAGTTTGTTTCTTCATCAGATTTGGAGAAATGCAGCATTGCATCAGTGTCTCAGCAATGGATGCTCTGCAGTGGATGGGTGCCGTCAGAATGAGAGTCCAAACAGCTGATAAAACATAAATAAATGATAAACTACGGGTCCACAATCCATAATAACGCTTCCTCCAGTGAAAAAAGTGGTCTGGTGTGAACCAGGAGAGAAATCTGCACAGATCAAGCATTGTTTACAAGCTCTAAACAAATATGTGGTTGGATTTTGATGTGAGAGACAACAGGAGAAAGCACTATTATGGATTATGGACTCGAATTTTAGCCAAGTTAAAATGCCTTAATGATGGATTTGTTTCTTTAACATATAGGCTAACGTGTTTCAACTACTTTTCATTAAATCGGAATTTGCGGTCATAACTATAAATTGTATATAGTTTTTCAGTGAAGTGCCTACTGCAAGGATGAATACAGATAGTGTTGTGATTCAAAATCAGTTTCTGTAAGGAACGTCTGGGCTCGTGTTTTTCTAAGCATCATTTTTCTCTTTACTGAGGTGCCAACCAGCGCGTGTAAAGTCACATGAGAGGGCAAATTTTGGTTTTAAACGTTCTCAGAAGAGCTCAGTTCCCCCCAAGCCCTAAAAAACAACAACGCAAACATGCAATTAGAGATGTGCTGATCCAGAGGTCCTGGGGAACGTTGGGTTGAAGGCTACCAATTAGTACTGTATATATATACTTGATGTTCTTTTTATGTGTGCTGTACTCCAACTAAAGCTATTGCCAAATGATGTTAAAAATATTTTAAAATTATTTATGCAGATTTTTTTCAAAATCATTAATTAAGAGAATGCTGAGTATATTTGTCATTTAAATTATTATTTAGTCACACTGCAGGACCATTTCAAATGAACTAGTGAATTTAAAAAGTTTTTTTTTTTTTGCCTGTATAAGTTCACATAAGGCTTGTCGGGTTCAAAAAATCTCTTGATTTTCTTTCAGCAAATTGATTGTCGCTTATTAAACACATGATCTGTGCTAAAACACCCCCGTCTTCCTCTCTGATCCACATTCCTCCAGTTATCCCTTTCCTTCGGACAGCTTGTGGGAATCTCGGCTCTCTGTGGGAAGCTGAACGAGTTGAAGCCTGTGTGCGAGTGTGTGTGCGAGTGTGTGTGTGTGTGTGTGTGTGT